AGTATATTTAAAAGTTATAAGCGTCGAAAATTCCGAATTTCAACACTATTTTTAACACATCTTTGGGCGGAAATATATACCATAAGAAGAACGAAAATTGCAAAACAGTTACCATACAGGGATAGATTAGTTGTTCAAAAATGCAAATAATTTTATTTTAAACAGATACATTCAATAGGTTTTTCGTGACATCCAGACTACCAAAGGTCTGTTTATAAAATTTCGCGCGCCCGTTTTTGTTATAAAACATCTTGCCTTTCGCTATAAATTGTTTCCCCGGTCAGTGGGACGGACGGAGGGGAGACGCAGCGCGCACTCACAAATACTCACTAGGTTAGCCGCTGCTATCTATTTATGGATGTAATACCTACAATATCTACATCTTTATTTAGAAAAATTGCTTCCTTTTTTTGTTCGTGCCTTTTAATTGTTTGGACTGACCACCTGACTCGTTCAGTGATGCCATTCCCATACAGTGTTTAGTTTTCAACTAGCGTTATCTATCACAAAATAAATAAAAATTTTATTCATATTTCGCTAATTGTGTCTGTACTATGAATTTGATTTACAATCGATCTCTAAATTGTAGTTTTCTTCTAATTACTTACCTTGCCTAGACGTGTTTTTTGGACTTCTGTAAGGAAGTCTATGCTGTTAGTATTCCGTTTATATACGTTACTATTTTGATAGACGTTTGTGCTTGTCCCTGCAGTGACACAATGCCTATTGTTGATAATTTTCTAAGTACTAAGAGAATATTTCAAACCGCTATTGAACACAAACAATCAATAAACAATTTACAAACTAACATTTTTTTTATTTAATTAACCTATATAAAAGCAACACTCACATCAAAATCGCGCTGTCGAAAAAGCAGTTATCCTGACACTGGCTGACATATACTTCGGGGTCGGGGAGTTGCCTGCGGGCTATTATAGCTAACTAGCTATGGAAAGTAAATACCTATTTAGAATACATAATACCTACACTAATATTTGCATAACCTACAGTAAAATACAAAAACATAAATAAAACATAATTATGTTACAGTTTTTTGTGTTTGTTTTAGAAATTGTTATATTTTTTTCAAAAAAAAGTTTTTTATGTTACCGTTTTTAGTTTAGAGTTATGTCCCTTTAGTGGGTACAGGAGTGATATTATTATATTGTGTGATTGCGTAAAGAATGCATAGATAGGCGATAGCAGCAATCGCGGCTGATTTACTGTCATTTATTGAAGAGTGCCCCCGATTTCTCCAAGATCCCATCATCAGATCCTGATCTGATCATCATCGATTACCGTGGGATTATCTGGAAAATATATCCTTTCAAACAAAAAAAAAATAATTTTCCAAATCGGTTCAGGCATATTCGAGAAATCGGGGGACAGAACATACATAAACAAAAACCAACGAATTAAGAACCACCTCCTTTTTTCGAAGTCGGTTAAAAAGTAGGTCAAAAAAACTAATCAATGGAATTATTATATAATAACAACATCTACTGTTCACATAAGAACTTTCATCATAACAACTAAGTACATAAATTGGGTTCATAATAATTACGTTTACACACAGCAGATCCTAAGTTACAATAACACCAATTTGCTTTCTCTCTCCTTTCTCTTTTTAAAATACGTTATCCCCACAGTAGGATTTTCTCCAGTATCGTGGAGGCAGTTTACAAATATAAATTGCACAAGAACAAACATCCAGACCCGGAACAACTATTTGTAGTCCATACAAAATAGTTGTTCCGTGGGGGATTCGAACCCGCGGCACCTACTCATCAGCGCAGCTACTCATTGCTAAGCCATTGTGGCACGAAGCTCACAATTGCCGTTCAAAATGAATCGCCTCTCCTTCGTCCTCGAGTGCGTATGTGTGTGCGCACTAGCTTCTTACTGCTCATCACAGCGTCTATCCCTTTCGCACGAGATGTCGGCTGAGATAGCATGCATTTTTGCCCCGCCCACCATTTAGTTCGTGCCATCGACTAGGGCAACCTTAAATAATATGAGTTATATACGGTTACGGAGGGCACACTGAAATGATCGGGAATAAGAAAAACCACATGCACGGTATAGCTAAATTGTATTTTATTGTTTTTAGAAGTATTTTCCCTTCAATTTAATGCACTTTTCCATTCGTGCAAACCAATCATTAAAATATTAATTCCAGTCTGAAGTTGATGTTAACAAAATGGCTGATTTGTACGCTTCCACAGCTGCTTCGGAGTCTTCAAACCGTTGACCACGTAATAAATTTTTCATTCTAGGGAATGTCAAGAAATCGTTTGGGCTCAGTTCAGGACTGTACGGAGGATGGCTCATTAGGTCAATGCTTTCCTGCTTCAAAAAATAATTAGTCTTCCGAGCCGTATGGGAGCTAGCATTATCGTGATTTTTATTTACTTATTTGCTTTTTAAGGGAAACATACAGTACAATAAAAAGTACATTATAAAACATAAAAAGTAATCCTAAAACCAATGATGTTTCCACAGATATCTAACACATATTAAAAGCTTGCAACCACAATATATTTAAAGATTTAAAAAAATAACTAATTAATGGTATTTATAATTAAATATTAAGTACTGAACATAAAATAAAAGTAATACAATACACACAACCTATAGTGAAGCTACCAATTATAAATTAAGTTTTACAATATTTTTTTATAACTATTATATTTAAGATGAAAAATATGTAGTTCACAATATTTTAAGTTAAAATTTTTACATGTACGAGATACAAAATTGTTTGAAGCATACTTCGTTTTTACTTTACGTAATGCAAAAAGAGGCTTATTTCGTGCACCTAACCGGTGACACGCAAGGTTCACTTTGCTCAAAAGTAGGGGAGAGTCGATGATATTATGTAGCAATTTGTACAACAACATTTGATTTCTTATATCACGGCGTTTTTCGAGTGTATAACTGTGTAAACTATCAATAATGGAGTCTACAGAAGAATTAAGTCGCTTTAAGTGACGCAGAAACTTATTATTGATTCTTTCAATCATTTTAACATAAACTTTGTATTGAGGATTCCAACATGAAGAACAATATTCAAGAATAGATCGCACCAGAGTATTAAATAGTATAATTAATGTTGTAGTTTTTAAAATCTTTTGAGATACGCATAACGAAACCTAGCATTGTATAAGCTCTTTGATTATGATAATAATATGTGAACTCAGTAACAATTTACTATCCAACTGAACACCAAGATCACGCAGTTCATTTACTCTCTTTATTAAATTATCGTCGAGCTTATAGTAAAAGAGGACTGGATTCTTTTTCCTAGTAAATGAGATAATATTACATTTCTTGATGTTCAAGTAAATATGATTTGCTTGGCAATATGAGCTAAGCCTACACAGATCCTCTTGAAGTAGATTGCAGTCTTCTATAGATTTAATAGACCTGAAAATTTTCATATCATCTGCAAAAAGGAGAATTTTGGAATTATGGAAGCAGGTTATGACATCATTTATAAATATTATAAATTATAGTTTACCAAGATGCGAACCCTGAGGAACACCTGAACAAACTGGGAGAAATGATGAACAGTGTCATTTTATTGCAACTGCCTGACTACGATTTCTAAGATAAGAAGATATCCATCGAAGTAAATCACCATGTACACCGATTTGATCTAATTTGTGTATCAGAATACTATGTGAAATTTTGTCAAATGCTTTTGTAAAATCGGTGTACACTGCATCTACCTGCAGTCCACTATCCATTGCAATATAGAGGTGATCAAGAAACTCGCAAAGATTACTTTCTGTAGACTTTCGACCTATAAAACCATGTTGTTCAGGAATTATAATTGGTCGAGCTATTTGGGAGAGTGTGTGTGTGATGTAAGATGATGCGAGGTTTCGGGTTATTAAGCTATTGCATAGCTTCTATCGCGGGCCTTGAGCGCGGGGACCGAATCCAGAAATTCCGTAACGAAAAAAAACCTCATGCTCCCCACTCCGACGGGCACGGAGGTGTGGTGTTGAAAGCCGTGCATCGTCTAACGTCGTTTCAGTTCGGCAGACTTCGGCACTCGGCAGACTTCGGCACGGTGTTTGTGTGCGTGCGACTAGACGTATGCGTACACGTAGACGTGTACACTAGCTCAACGCTGATAAAAATTCCTGAATAACCTACATGTATTGTAAGATATTAATAATATTAACTTCTCATTTATTCAATAAGAGAAAAAAAATTGTTTTCTTATCGGTCATCACGCTCAAAAAGTGTAACTTTAATATCAAAGACTTAACTGCATAAATAAAATAAATAAATAATTATAATTGCATAAGTTGATAAAAAATGCTATGCAATAGCTTTACCGCGGCAGTAACCGAGTGCCACACGTATTTTTTTTTTCGGAGTTCGGCTATCATTTCTGGCAAACAAACCGTGATATACCAATCAGCGGTAAACGGTAACCGTTCTGTGTTCCTGTAAAGGAATTGTAGCAACATGCCCCTTTTTCGAGACAAACGTAGCGACCATTTTCTTTGATACGCTGCCTGCGCTGATACCTGCCGGACGGCAGGTATTTGCGAGGCCCTTTGTCCTTCGTGAAAAGTATGTGATGCAAAAGTAGATCTGGTTGTTTGGTTTAGGTATCTGTCGTGTTTGAGGAGAAATGCTTAAGTTATACAAATAAATAAAATTTCAGCTTTAAAATATTTTACATTGAAAGATTTATAAAATTAACAAATACAGAGGTTATAAATTTTAAAATTGATCATTTTAAGCCTCCAAAAACTCCTTTCAGCAAACGCAACTGTAACAGGTGTGGTAGCAATAATTCTAAGGATTATTTTGATAGAACTTCAGTTAATTTTTTTCTATTATGTGTTTAAGCACCGGGATAATGTCGTTGTTTCTTTCATACACACGGATGAATATACTCAGTTCCTCGTACAATTCATATCCATCAATATCACATGATTCTCATACTGACACAGATATTTGCAAGTCGCTGCATTGTTTCAAAGTTCACTATCACTAATTTCCTTTAATCTTTTTATATTATACATGAAACCAAATATGCTCTCATGATGTTTAAGAGTCTCAAGCCTAGGATGGCAGCTTGCGCGCGCATTGTCGACAATGGCATAAAAATAGTTAATTTTGAAAATTTCTTCCGCATTCAATTCAAGAGCTTCATCTTCCCCTTCATAATCAAAATGTCTTTTTTTACGTCGTCTTCTGACTTCTTTAAACTGTCTGTCAATATCATTTTCCTCGGCTATTTCTCTCGCTATTACTAAGGATGACTGAAAACCATTTTCTCGGTAATTATAGAGCAAACTTATGAATGCGTCTAGATGTTGTATAGCCACATCTAAGTGCATGTTTTCGCTTTGCCACATTTTACTTATAACATTTATCTTTGTAAGAATGTCATACTATATGACAAGTGAAACTACAAATTCGTAGGAAGTTATTTCCTTTTCTATGGAATGGCGTTCACTGACCAACTGACAACCTGTTGTATTTTCTGCTAAATCCTTTAAAGCATCACATATATCACTTAGTTGGTATTTAACGGTCTTCCCTCACTTCACTCCCTAGTTTGAGCAAGTAGTTTTAGCGATAACGATTTTACATGAGCATTTAAAATAGCCCACATCTGACTTGAGCCGGCAAACAGAGTGAGCAACCTTTGTACTAAACCAAAAAAAGATTTTGCTTGGACACAAGACGATGCCCCATCTCCTAGGATGAGATTGCAGCCATGACTCCCACGAGGTAAAAAATAAGCAGGTCGATTAATTTCAAGAACACGTTTTTGGACAAAACTTCTATCACCACGCATATTGGCACCTTTATCATATCCTTGGCCTCTGCAGTTTTGCAGTAATATACCCAACTGTTCTAATTTTGTGATTATATATTTAGTCAACATACGACCTTTCTGCTGTCGACTAGGTTCGTGAGACTTTAGGTAATGACCCAAGTGTTTCCAATTACACACTGCTTCACTTGTTCCAATCTTTGTATTTTCTAGACCGAATATCCGATACGGAAAGCAGTAAACGGCATCCTTTGTTTGTGAATAAATCATCCAGCGCCTGTCGACCTTTAACCGTTTATATCTTATATCTTATTATAATGATATTCGCTGAATTGCCGTCCATTATCGTTTACAGGAATTAAATCAACTTTAACCCGGATTGGACCTTTTAATACAATCTCAGTTCAGTCTACATCAGTAATTGTTACAAACCAAGGTCATTTTGTGGATTAAGATTTTTCATTCCAGCAGTCATGGATATAGACATAGACTCGGACTCAAATTCTAGTTCTTGACTGGATAGCGTTGACTACGGCACCGGTGACCTACGAGATAATGATGTAGTTAATTCATCACATCCTCGCTGTTTTTGCTAAATGATGGCGGCGGCCACCATGATGATGTTTAAGGAATGTTTTAGCTGGATATGTACGGTACAGTAACTATTTTGTAACTCATACTGCAAGCAAAGTAATTCAAAGATGACAAGAGTTGGCTAACGAAATGAAGCGCAGGGGTCCCCCGAGCGATACATTTAAACGGGAACATTATGTCCCGACTCCCGAGCTGACCCGATTGCTATGCGATTAAAAAACCGATCTTAAAGTGTTTCGAGGCGCGATATTCAAGTACTACATAATTAATTTTTCAATTATGTTTTGAACGAATGAATTAGTTAACTAGCTTTATTTTAATTTACCGTTATGTTATAACTTTAATAAGTAATTAAGGATCAAAATCAAAAGTTTTAAAATAAAAAAAGTATAGAAAAATTTGCTTGGGTTGTTGCGCGAGGCCCCTGCAATAGCAAGGCCCCGGGCGATTGCCCTGTTCGCCACCCCTAAGGTGCTGTAGATGGTACCGCTGGTGCTGAGTTGAAGAATTTAATATTTGGTGACTAGAGTAGTTGATGAAACTGCAGTATTAAAAAGCTGTTAATAGCATTGCTAGTATTAAAAAATAGTGTTTCCTATTATTTCTTTGAGCTTTAAAGATGGATAGTATATATTTTAACTGTTAAAATAAACAGTTCAAAAATTAAAAGAATTATATATACTTAGTAATCAAAATCCAGACACTTGGAAAATTGTATTTAACTTCATTTTATAAATAATGATGTTCTTGGTTTTAAATTTGATCAAATATTACAAAATTTAGAGATCTAAGAAGATTATGAAGAAATAAATCCTGTTGAAAAAACATAACAACTTGTATGATTGAAGTAGTTGCTGGACCAATAAATATTCAACAAGAAATTGATTCAGGTAGAAGAGAAATTGATACCCGATACAAATGGCATTCTATTTAAAATGAACAACAACTGAATTTATTAGAAATATTTATTGAAATGAAAATTTTCCGAAAAATGAAAGAAACCCGAGCATCAGTAATCAAAATTACTGACCACATTTTGTTTTTCTACTGAACAGCAAGAAATGATTGATACATTTGAAAACAACTCGGCTACCTACTAGGTTACGAGAAAGAACAACATACTAAAAGAATTGTTGTACAAGGCAAAGCTGGTTGTTACTGCCCCCAGTTACCCCTACAAAAGACTATTGAACTAGGGCCCATTCGTAGTCCAACTAGACGAGTATCAAAGGGGAGGGTCCAACGACCTATCGATAATTAAATTAGAACGGTTAGGTACGCAAACACAAAACTTACCGAATTCCAGAAGTGTAAGGTCTACTACAAGGTGGCGTCAGGGACAAGTAAATGGTAGTAGATGTGTAATGTGGGAAGTGTATAGTATAACCTGACGTCACCAATAATATCAGATAGCTGCACCACGTGCGCCGACCGCTCCACAAGACGCTGACCGCTATCGGAGCCCAAGTCCAGCATCACTTAGCAAGAACTACAATCGCGCCCGATCTACACAGGGATCACAATAAGGCTCGCGAAGTATAATTGACCCGGGCTTCGACGCGGCAATTGTATCAAAAAAACACTCGCGACCTCTGAACGCTACGGCTCGCTCACCAAGAAGATCGAGACCCGTCCGCGTGGCCGTCGGCCGCACAGCTCCGCCTCCCCCCGGCCCCGCCGTCAAACTGGTTTCCCGCTCGGAACGCGCGCTAAATTATGCCTAAACACTGGTTCTGAAAAGAGCATTGGAGAACAGTATATTCCAGTATATTCCTCGAACTAGCAAGCTACAAAGAAGGACTTCACGCGTCAAACGGAAACTGTGATGAAATTATTCTTGTAACTTTTTTGTGGTTATACACAATAAAAAAAGTTTTCTAGTAGTACGCTAAAGTCCTGTGTGTAAACAGTGTTCCAGTCAAAGTCCTGTTCAACCTCAGACCTGCTCTTAGAGTAATTATATTCATATGGTATTGCTTTAATCACAAACTTATAAGCTTTAGTTATTGCTCTGAGCGCGGAACAACTAATGCAGTTGTTCTATTAAATCGTAGTTTTATAATAAATAAACTAAATATATCTTTCAACTATCAATTAATCAAATCAAACTATAAAACCTGGTGTCTTGGCGGGAGCATGACTGCCGGATGAATTGTTGCTCCGGTTTTATTGTTCACATAATTATTTGAAGTGGATTTTGGATTGTATATTTATTATTTAAATGACAAAATAAGTGCTCCAATGTTGATGGAAACCATAAGATATTTAGCGTTCGTTTAGCGTCCTAAAGAACCTGAGATACTGACGTCATCAACTGTCTTCTGCTGTCGTTAAAATCAAAAATTTCACAATGTGATGCATCGACATACGAATATTGAGTGTATTATATATTCTGAGCCTATCATTTCTTTCGGAATCTTCATTTTTATATTCTTTTTCTTCACAATAAGCTGATGCGCCACATTGCGAAGCCCTTGGGAGATTTTGACGACAGCTCAACCCAGCGGACACTTGATGACGACAGCCACTCAAATTCATGGAGCGCCCAAGCGATCAAAATAACTTGAGGTTTATATCGAAATCAAAGCACCTGTTTCGCCATTTTCTCTAATAGTTCACATGCGCGGACACTTAATTTACAAAATCGCATCACTTTTACGAATCAAAATCCACTTCAAACTATTATTTAAGCGACAAAACAGGAGCGACAATCCGTCTACAGCCATGTTTCCGCCAAAACTTTTCAACTGTCATTCAGCAGTCAGTCCATGGAGGTTAGAGAACAGGAGAACGATCGCTGTAGAAAATAGTGTCCCAGAAATATGGACAAAATAAGTGAGGCGTTACGATCGCTACGTTGTCTGAATAAAAGCGGGCTCTTATGCGCTAGTTTGAAATGATTATAATATCATTCAAAGAAAAAAGAAAGTAACGAAATTATTAATATTTATTAATAAATAAATTATAAATCATGTTATCTATAATTTTAATCATTACAAATACATATTATTAGTTATTAATGATTTAATATTATTTTTATATTATTTCACCATTTTTTAATATATCTTTTTGTCAGTTATTAAAAAATGACTTCGCAGATACAATTCACCGACGGCAGTGGGGCTATAAATTCTACAAATTTTCAGGGACAGACGGGCTATGCTTTAGTACGTAGCGATCGATCTCCTGTTCTCTAACCTCCGTGATATAAGTAGATACTTGGATAGTGATGTAAATTTCAACTAAATTTTGTAATAAAGTTCGTCGGTATTAGATAAATAATTATTACTTAATTCTTTTTTGCTATAAGTACCTATCTATCAATAAAAATTAAATAAGTTCACGTTTCATAACTTCCTACTAAAATCCTTCGTTAACTTAAGGAATGATATATCTCAAACATTTGTTGGTCATTTAGCATCTATCTACGCAACAATGGAGAAGATAACACGTTTACAATATTAAACTTTTAAGTACGTAGGTAAAATGTCTAGACCAAACACATAATTCTAGTTTTTATTTCACATTGATCGGTGCACTATTACCGAAGTTATAAGCGTGGAAAGTTTCCGTACATTTTTAAAACCTCGCCCGTGCCCGCGAGTAGCGCGTGACGTCATCGATTCCATGCGGCCGCGCCGCCGTACCGTTCCAGTGCGCCGATCATACGTTTGTAGTAATATTTCGCGGGTGAGTTGTTTGTCCTCGTGCGCTCTGGTGTTTTTAAGTATTTAATGATGGAAGAAGGGTTTCAAAAGGTCAATCTGACAACCTTTCAATAGTCCGTGACATGATGGTGGCGGAATATTTTCTAAGGAACAAAGATTTTGTCGCAGCTGAAATACGCATAAGAATAAGATAATATTTTATAACCTAGGTACCCATTATTACATTAATACTTCCTGGTTTCATTTGCTAATGATAAGAATAAGTATAACAAAAATACGTAAACATTCCTTACCTACCTACTTACTATCTGCC